TCTCTCTCTCTCTCTCTCACCCTACTTTTCAAATCCTTCAAGATCTCTCTCCCAATGTCCAAATAGCAAAATCAACTCAATTCAATTCAATCGACAAAAAAGGTGTGGGGGGTATATATCTCCAAACTCCGACTCCTCCGCGAAAAGAGTTTCTCCTTCACCCCTTTTTCCTTTCCACCTTCCGTAAACATGGAGAAGAGCGGGAAAACCCCACGCAAGCGTGGGACTCCACACTTCGATATTTACGTACAGATGGAAAGCAAAAAAAAAGGGGGGGGGAAGGAAAAGGGGGGTATAAGGTCGTGCGAAAAAGCAAGCTAAACAAAAAATGAGCGAGGGGTATCACCACCTGACATTCGTAAGGGTGCAAAAAAAGAAGAACATAAGGTATAAAAGAACAAGTGGTGAACCAACGGGGGATGGTTTGAAAAAAGGAACGTAAGTTATGGGCAACTTGTAAAAGAAGTCCCCAAAGCAAAACAATATTACAAAAGGACAGCCCGCCAAAAGGTTTTGTAAACCTCGACACACAACTTATTTCCATCATCAAATCGTCTCAGACAAATAACGAAAAAAAATGAGGTGGGGCGTTGATTACAAGAACAGAATAGCAGGGTTGGGGCGAGAAAATAATGATTTGAAATAAACATCCCAAAAAAAGGTTTTTGGAATAGAAGTATGTCAAATCAGAAAAGGGGGGGTGCGCGCATTGCATGAACAAGGTGTCAAGTTTTGACAGGTCGGGTAAAACAAAACAAAACAAAAAAGGATACGTCAGAATGGTTGAGCAAAAAACCTAGTTTTGCTCAAACCAAACAAGAGAATGTAAAGAAAACAGAAAGAGGTCGCAACGTGGGGCGAGCAAAGAATGCAAAGAAGAGCGTAACAAGGGACATGGTCGTGAAATAAAAAGAGGGCATGAAAAACAAGGATTTGAGCGAGCCTAGGCCAGAGGGAAGCTTCCGGGTATATGGTGAGGTGAATCAAAGACGAGCACCAGTCGATGATGCAAGAAGCAGCGAGGCGTTTGGGTAGTTGGATTGGGGTTGATTTTTGCTCATAAGCAAAAAGAGTCAACTCAGAGGGCGAGGTAGCCAAGACCAGCAGCGACAATGGCAAGGTAGGTGTTTGCGGTCAGAGAAGAAGCGGCGCCAGGGAAGGTGGCAGGGGCGGAAGCGCTGGGGAGGGTAGCAGTAGACGCCGAGGGGGCAGCATTGGATGCCGAGGGGGCAGCATTAGACGCCGAGGGAGCAGCAGTGGGCGCGACGCTGGTAGCGTTGCCAGCGTCGAAGGAGCTGAAAGAGGGCGCAACGGTGGGGTGGCTAGCGATGATGGTTGAGGTCTGGTTGACGGGCGCGCCGGTGGGAGAAGAGCTGGCAGTGACGGTGTTGACGCGGGTGATGGTCGAGGTGATGTAGACGGTGGCATCGTAACTGATGGTGTCGGAAGAGGTAGTAGCAACGGCTGTTGCGACCAGGGCGCAGAGCGCAAGAGGGATTTGCTGGAAGGAGCGCATGGTGGTGGTGGTGGTAGTGGTGATGATGATTTGCGTGTGTTTGGTTTGTTTGCGACGAGAAGTGAATGCGACTATAGCGCGAGCGCAAATGAGCGTTGATAGAGAGAGTAGATAGTAGTAGTGAGTGAGTGTATACAACAAAAGTGTACAGTGCGTAAGCAACGGTGAGAGCTAGCTAAAGAATGTAGTCAGCCGATGGGGCAGAAGCAAATTTAAAAGCGAGAGAGGGCAGAGAGCGAGTGAGTAAGTAGAAAGGGTCCAGGCAGAGTGGGACGTTTGAGGGGAGGAAGACGATGCGGGTGGGTCGCCGGGGAGGAAGCTCCTGCCTTGGCTGGCCGCAATTTCCCTGTTCCTGGGGCAATTTCGGCTCTTGCAAAGGCGCTAACGCAGGTCGCGCTTGCCATTTGCTCCCACTAAACGGCAGGCTCGGGTGTACCTGACCAGCGCATTGGCGTGCATCCTAACCATGACTACATCAAATCCTTCACCAACATCCGCCTCTTCCATCATCGCTGCAACGGCCCTGGATGCGCGCACAAACACCACAACCCCAGACGGCCCTTGTCGCCAGGCATGCCCTGACCCCCTCGTCCCCATATTGTCTCAACACCCCAAGGCGCGTGGTTTCATGGCCGTTTGGCCAGGGAAACCTAGTCTAACCCCAATCGTTCCATCGTCACCCAGCCTGACAAGAAAAGCGCGCCGCACAGACACCCCAGGCGTGACTTGTCGACGCGGAGCCGGTAGGTACACCGCATCCAGCACACTACTACCACTACTACTACCTTTGTTCGCCCGTCGCCCTCGTGGCACGCTATCAGCCCTCGCCGGAACGGACCCCATTTATTGTGGCGATGCCAACTCTTGCTGTGCTGTCATCCACCGTCAGCCTGAGACTCTTGTCGACTGATGTGAGAGGGTAAAAGAATTTTCTGCAAAGACTTTGACCCGCCGCCTGCCCCAACACCATCGACGACTGTCCACTGACAGCCGTCGCATCAATGACTCTTCTGCTCAACAGCTGCAGGAGCCGCAGTAGCACGCTGCGGCCGGCTTCCAGCACGGTTGCTCCTCCATGGTGCGCATGATCGTGACAACTTGGCACACACACTGCCAAAAGCCAACAAGTCGAAAAAAAATAAAATTACCATTACACCTCACCCAAGCGACGCCCCTCGGATTGGCTGCTTACCACCCACCCCCTGCCATTAGTACCTTTGCTCTTAATTCGTCTCTTCAGCCTCGCATATGAACTATCGGCCGTCCATTGCAAATCCAGTTCGTGCCCCTTTGCCGCTAGCCGTAGAGCAAATGGGCCAAGCCCTTGCTTTCTCTCTCGCGCGCGCGCGACAAATATCCCTCTCTCTGCCCCCGTTGCCATTGCCTCTTGAGCACGCGCGCAAAATGACCGCAAATCTTCGCGTAATATCATCTTGCAACCCACAAACTCCCCACCCCCACCCTCAGGGCTCAAACTCTGATTTGTGTAGGGCGCCTCTTCATTCGTAGTCTGTCACCGCCCAGTGGTTAGCCTTGGACTTGGAAACTCGACCTCTGAATCAATCAAGTCCTAGAGCGGCCGTCATCCCCCCGCCCCTAGCCAAAAACAATATCACACACCATCCTGCTTTCAGTCGCCAAACAAACATCCCAAGCAAGAAACCCTCCCTCATTTATTAAAAACCCCCCTTCAAAACACAACGGCTCAGCTCAGGGAAATGTGGGCGCACGCACCTGTCCAAACAATACTCTTCCCTGCAACCATCTCACGATAGTTGCAAAAACACTTTGCCTTGCCCGACTCGGCAAAGCATGCCTGATCGGCGGCGCAAGCCCATCCTCAGTCCGCTTCAACCACTTCGGCGCTTTCCCACAGTCGCCGACACATTTCCTCGGCTTCGTTTCGACTGCGCGCTTGCTCGCTCTCGAAGCTTTGCCGCCCTTCAAACTCGCCTTCTGTTCGACTACTCCTCGCTTTCTCGAAGCTGACTCGCGATCTCCGCGATCCCGCTCCATCCGTTTCAGCAACCCCGTCATTGAAACTCGTGCTCAGACTGTTTGCTCCCGTTCCGTTTCCATTCGCCTTTTGCTGCTGCTGCTGCTTGGATGCCCGCATCTTGACTGCCATGCCCGGCATTTGCGAGATGCGCGCAACCGCGTCCGCTATCGGGTTGCGGTATCTTCGCACTACACTGTATTCAACCGCAACGTGGTTAAACTGCTGCAGCAGCCGTGGGTCCAACCGTCCCTCGCCATTTGCATTATACTGTATGCTCGACTGAAGGTACGTCGGCCCGCCCGTCCGTGGAAGAGTCACGGGAACCAGCTTCTGTGGCTCCACGTTGGATGATGCTCGTTGCAACATGAGCTTCTGTTGAGTCCGTGACGGCGGCAGGTTGGTAGGTGTCGTCGTACCTGACCGCTGCGGCGTCTTCGACGGCGTGTCTGTACCGCCACTAAAGTTTGGCATTGACTTGTTCCTTTTCATCTTGTCCAGTCCGCCTCCCTCGTCCTCGTCCTTGGCACCGCGCCCGGCCATGTACTCGCCCTCGTGTGGTGTTCCTGCTGAACCATCACCGTCCATGAACCGTGATACTAGGTCGCGCCCGGATGTGTCCACCAGCGTCGACCCCACAGATCCAGCCGTGTGGCTAAGGAGATTGTGCCGGTCCGACGACGACACTACCGTGGCCGCGACTGACGTTGTTTTGGGAGGGACATGATGCGAGGCACTACGCTGGAGTAGACGTGAAGTAATCATGTCAGCATCCGGAGGCCTCGAGTGCTGGTACGAGCTCCCTCCGTTGATTTGTGTGCTGCTGCGTGTGCGGTCGACAACTGGCTGAGCTGCTTGCGTTGGCTGTTCCCGGATCGCGCTTATTTGCTGTGATGGCTCCCCCCTGTTTCTCTCCATGTTGATCTCAGCCGCCCGGTGTTGTGCGTCGAGTATGACCGAGTTGGAGCGCGTGTTGGATCGAGTCGTTGTTGGTGACTGAGACGCACTCTCTTCCGTCCATCCGGCCTCGTCGCCATCCTCGTCCTCGTTGGCGAGGTCGAAATGCACTCCTGCACCTGGCTCGGGCGATGATTGGCGAGATCGGTTGGGTGTCGCGAGTGCGCGCCTCGACACAGCATGATCGCCCTTGGACTTGAGCCCGTGTTTGCCGTGCCCTTGTCGCGGCGGCAAATGACCGCTCGAGTGGTTTCTACGTAGGTTGGCCTGCACCTGTGCCTGGTTTGCTCTCACAATAGCACCAGATGATGCATGGCGCTTGAAGCCCGGCCGCGAGTGAGGGCTGCTGGGCGCAGAGACAGAATTACCCGACTGCGAACGACGATGGTGTCGGCCGCCGTGTTCAGCCCCTTGCTGCGCCTGCTGTGCCTGCTTCTCGGCCTTGCTGAGCTTGTTGAGGTTCTTGCCAAACGATGTATTCCTCTGTACGCGCTGGCCAACAACATGGTGCCGCTGGGCTTTGTGGTGCGTAGGCCGTTGGTGGCCCCCCTCGGACGGCGACTGCGAAATGTGCGACTGCGACGACGACTGTCTGGTCATTGGCGTTGGCCTCTTGGACCGCGAATGAGATTCGTCGTCCGAAGCCATGCTCACGTCTGACTGTACGGCTGCGTCCTGTCTTTCAAGTGGAGTCGCGGCTACGGTTGGGTCGTCGGTGGTGCATATACTGCTGTAATGGTGCGTCGCTGTCTCTGCGCGTGGCAGCAACAAAGTGGAGCAGCCAGCGGAGAGGTTCGTCGTGCTGGCGGCCGAGATGATCTAGCGGGCGGCCATGGACATTCAATTGCGTGCGAGGGAGCGTTGGGACGTCGTACAGCGTGCCACGTCGGATCCAATAACAATGAATGGAGATGGTGGAGTGCATTGCTGTCCCGTCAAATAAGCAGGCGGTCAATCAGCCCCAGCCGCTTCGGTTCACCGCGGCCCGATCCCACACGTCATATGACCGCAACCTCCGTCTACCACCCATCCCCTCTTCATCGACGGCGCAGATATACCACGCACTTAGTGTTCCAAACAAACATCACTTATGATACCAAAGAGTTTGTTTCTTTTTCGCCTGTCCATGGCTTGGCACTTGTCATAATCACAGTATACATACTTGCATGCCTAACTATGTCTTCCTCTAGATCATGCAATCGTAGTGTCTCATACATCTTCTAGCATCGATTCGTCGCCCATCCATGTCCGTTGATAACTATGTCCTTACAATATAAACCGGATTGATTGTCCACTCACTTTTGCTTTGTGATATGCTGCTATTCCATCGTCCTGTGCTCTCTAGGCCTTCCCTTGTCAGGCTTCGGCCTGTTCGAATCGCCGCCTTCACTAGTCAAATCACAAAATTTTGAGCAAGCCTCTTCAGCTTGCATCTCATCCCCCGTTGTAATGCTGCTCGCTGCTGACTGACTTGACGTTGTGCCGGGTTCATTCCGTCAATACAACCGAAAGACGACGTAGTAAGCATCGATTCGCGGCGCGACCGGTACGACGGGGGCGGTGGGCCGGAGGAGTATGTAGGGGCATCGGACAAATCTCCCACGGAGTCTTCGCGAACAAGACCTGCTAATTCTGTAGACGGCCCTGTGCTGTCTGTACCTCGCCCTGTGCGCATAAAAGTCCTGTAGACATGTCGCTCAGGGTCATTTTCCACGTCACCGAATCTTGCACTGTTGGGTGTGCCATGTCGAAAAGGAGTACACTCTCGTGAATCGCTGACAGATATCAATAACCTGTGACGCGCCGATGTTTGCCGCCTCGGCGACGGTATCAAAGGTTTTAGGAAGGACGTCGATCGTGTTATGAGCATAGGAGTGGTATCTTCTTGGACGTTGTCGTAGGAAATAGACAGAGGAGTTATGCACACTGATTGTCTTCTCCTCCGCTTCTTACCCGGGAGATGCGCAGACTTGTTACCTAGTATTGAAGGCATCTGAACTTGCACCTTTCTAGCCGAACGTCGGAAACATGGCGTTTGTTGTTTTGTAGCTGTTGTCGGCCTGGCTATGCCTAAGGCTACAGATAGTGGCACAGCATATTGGGCGACTGCCGAGCCTTTGACATTGGGAACTGTTGCCTCTTTCCAGTATGAGATCCCAGACATGAGCGGCGGTGATGGTGTGTTTACACTAGCTTCCAGCCATGCATTGACATTCCGAAAGACGCTCGAGTCTGGTCGTGTTAGGCGGATTGGAGGCAGAATCGGTGGGTGAGATGAGACACGTCTGCTATCAACCGGTGTTCTTGGTGCAAGGAAGATCACGTCTATCTTGGACACATCCACACATGCTGGTTTTGTGAACGACCGCTCGGAGTCTGTCTTTCGCTGTGTGTATGTGATTTCTTCTGTATCCTTTAACCTCTGTCGTGATATCGCCTTTCGCACGCGCTTAAGCAGCCATTCCCTCACGTTTCTGTACTTCTTATTGGATGAAGAAACTTCGTTATCTTTATTGGTGAAGGTCATGTTGAATGCCTGTGAAGGTTTTGTTTGCGAGAATGTCGTACTGTGATTGTAATGCACGGCAGTAATGTGGAAGAGATTGGAGCGAGAATGCGGTGACGATGCCGTTCAGGTTGATGAGGTGGTTATTGTGAAAAATGACATTTAGGTGGTTGCTGTATACAAATGTCATAAGTGTGATGAGGCAGGAGCAGAGTGGCAGTCACCTCAAGCACTCTGGGCAGGCACGCTCCGAGTGAGTTTGTCGCTTAACAAAAAATGGTAATTCACGGAGTGAATCAAATTGTCAAAACGACAATTCATTTGCCCGAACAGTCTTCATTCATTCATTCGTACACATCTCCTCAAACGCCAAGCCGCCTGCCGTAGAGGATGACCCATGGTTTTATCCTCCCTCACTTGTTAAATGATCAGGCAAGATGCGACAGACAAGTCAGGTTTAGCAGCAGGGAATTCCTTGGATCTTTGTATCCGAAACACATTCTCAAAGTTACGATCTTCCTTCGATAAGAATGAGTTGTTATATATAAAACAAGGCTGGGACACCCTGTACTCACACCCCTGGTAGATTTACGCCATACAGATGTAAGCCACATGATGCCCCCAATTTCACGCCGTCAAGTAACATGCTGATAGCCGAAGCCTTGAATTGGTTTCCGAGTTTTGTATTGATTATATATGTAGCCTGTCCAGTTCTTTCCCCGGGCACCGCCAATTTATCTAATATCTAAGGAGATGGAATTTTATAAAAGGGTATATACAAATGATGAGCAAGATGGCCTCCCAAATGTTGTGCCAACGAAGGCGTGTAGAATCTACAAAGGAAAACGACATTCTCAGTGTGAAATGTACAAGTATTAGTTAAAGGGTATACAGGTGATCAAAGGTGGGTATCAAATGACAAGGCCGGGTATATGAATATGCGCACGGTGGGGCCAAGCTGAAGAAACAGAGAAAAGAAAATCGAAATGTGAACATAGGAAATTGACAACAAAGGAAAAAAAGGCCAACATTGTTGAATAGACATGACCATCAATCATGCTACCCCTTTGCGAAAACATGTCCTATTGATATAGACAGTCTTGGCGGGAGGGACGTCTTATGAACCCATGGATACACCGCCATCGTTGGAGCCGACGAAACCTGTTTGCATACCCATGTCGAGGCGCAAAAACTGGTCTTGGTGGTTGTCGAGACCGTCCATACCAGCTGGCATGCCCATGGAACCGCTCATACCGCCCATGTTGCTTTGGTTCAGGTTGTGCGGATCCATCATCGCCAGTGACTCGCGTCGGCTACTGTCGGCTGAGCTGACATGTTGCAGATGGGGCGAGAGTTGGTGTTGCTGATGTGGGTGAAAGTCTTGATTCCGTGACTGGTTCATGTGCTGACGAGCTGCTGCCCATGCTTGGGCTTGGGCCTGAGCTTGGGCGATTTGGGCTTGCGTGATATGCTGGGTCGTCTGCATGTGGGACTGGAACTGTTGCTGATGGTGTGGCGGCGTGGGCTGGAGAGGCGTCGTGTGATGGTGCTGAGGCTGGGACTGGTGAACTGATTGTCGATGTGCCTGGTGATGGAGGTGGTGCATGGCGTCTTCCTCGTCGTTTGTGTGCGGGGTGAGATCGATTCCATCGTCATCATCGCCTTCTGCGTCAACTTGATCGCTACCAACATCACCATTGACCGTCGCTGGCGCGCTAAAAGGCATACTGGTCTCCGCCTTGACTGGACTGCCTTGTCTGGGCTGATTAACAGTGGCGTACACCTGTGCCGTCTGGCTAGCCATGGAGCTACGTGAACTGGCGTCGCCGGGCAATGGCTTCTGAGCAGCCAGGCCTGAAACAGACACCCTGTTTTCACGTATGGCTGTTCGCCATTTGTCAATCAGGCGGTCATAGTCCCAGTTGCGGTAGTCCATGCCGTGCTTTGCAAGCTCCTTGGTCGTGTCGACACCCAGATTGATGCTGATGGGTGACATGTCGGGGCCACCGGACGACCAGCGGCTAGCTTTGAGATATTCATTCTCTCTACGGGCGTTCTCTAGCTGGACTTCTGCTTCTCGTCGTCGGTCATCAGCACGGGCATAGCAGCGTAGAATTTCAATCTGCCAGTAATCCTGTCTCGTCTGGTCGGAATGCTGGCTCCAGTGGTGGTAGGCATCCGCAATGTGGCCAAAGAGTCGTTGGGGGTCGTGGTCGAAGAGTGGTGGGGTGGGAAGGGGCGAGGAAGTAGCTGAGGAAGGAGCATTGGGGTTGGAGGTTCCAGAGGGAAACACTTGGTTGAGGTGTCGCTGGCGCTGGTAGGCAAGCAGGCGCTCGCGCACCTGCTTATTCAGCGCTTCAAACTGCTTCTGCCCAGGCGGGGCGATGGACCATGACTCGGCAGTCGGAAAGGGCGTGGGGGAGAAGAGAGTTGAGGGTGCGGGGAGGATGTGGAGGCATAGCGATGGAAAATTTTGGGCGTAGGGATCAAAGTCGAAGAGGCCGATACCTGATGCTTTTGCACTGCGTCTGTTTAGTAATGGAGCAAAGGTGGTGGGCTGGGTTGGGTGGGATGACGGGCTTACTTTGCTTCACGTACGCTCTTCAACAGCTCGCGCAGGGCCATCTCGGTGGCGGCCGCAATTTCGACCTCTTCGCTCGTCTTCTGCCTCTGGTCGAGATCTGCCTTTCGCAGCTGACGGGAAGCATCTCGGCGGGGGTCTGGTGTCTTTGTCAGGAGGCGCGAGGGGCGGTGGCCAGCCCCCCAAGTGACGTCCTTGAAGGCACCTCTGGATTTGCCCACTTCGAGCGAGTCGTCGTCGTCATCGGGGCTCTGCATGAGCATGGACGAGTCTTCGCTGGCTATGCGCTTCTTGGTGGCGGGGGTGCTGGCGCCGCTCTCATCGCGCCTGGGAGTGGAGACGCTGCCCTTTGCCTGGCGCCTGGTGATGCCGCCGCGCAGCTTACGGATTTCATCGACGACATGGATGCCGTCTGGGGCCTTTGGGTTCTTGGCTCGGATGTAGAGGTCGAGGTGGCGTCCGAGGCTGGAGGAGGTGAATGCCTGGCCGCAAAAGGGGCAGTTCTTGTCTTTTGCAGCCTTGAGCTGCGGTTCAGTGGCAGAGCGAGGCGGCGAGGATGGTTCGGGTTCGCCCATGGTGTTGGTCGCAGACTCCGACCGGTCTTCAGGGTTCCCAGGCTCGAGCTTAGTTCAAAACGAAATGTCCTTCATGCACGGCGGTCGGAGGATTAAGGGCCACGGGCTAGCTATGCCATTATTATTATTACGACGGGTAGAGGGGTAGAGGGGGCAGAGTAAGGAAAATGGGCATAGTGCACGCCAATGGCAAATGAGTGAAGACCAATTGGACGCTGCAGTCGAAGAGAGCGACGCGTGGGAGCAATATTACTTTGGCTGCTTGGCGTGAAAAGCTGCCCCTAAACCTCCTCGCGCGCACCGTGATGCGCGCGCAGATGCCGCCAAGCCGCCTGTGCGTACAGCGGGAAGCAAGCCCGCCCGAAGCTGCTGGCCCTGGCGTCTGTCAGACGACGTCGAGGCGAGTCGAAATGCCACGACGGGGTCGGCACTTTTGTGTCGCTGCGCCGTGAGCATCATGGTTGGTGGGATGCTGGTGGTGATACACGCGTGTCTCTCTCCTCATCGTCATCATCACCAACAAGGGAGAACAGCTCCAGCACTAGTAAGTACTATCCCTCCTCATCACCATCGTCCTCGCCCACCATCGCCCTGACCAACCAGCCAACCAACCAACCACCACCACTAACCACCACCCTTCACGCCAACGCCGCCCTGCCTAGCCGGCCTGCCGTTCGTGCCGCAATCTCCTCATACTCATCCATACCGCCTGCTAGCCTCTGGACCTGCCCTTTGCACAGCCGAAAAACGGTTCCCGGAGCGACCCCTGTCTCTGCCTCGTCGTCTGAGTCGCTCTCGTCGCCGCCAGCCTCGCCCTCGGGCCTGCGAACCCCTGGCGCTAGCTTGTACAGCCACTCTCCCTCCACGGCGGTTCTGTGGGGCGGTCAATAGTTGAACCTTGCTATGACTATTTCCAGCGAGCGTCGAGAAGACATCCAGCTCGGGCTATCACGTACCTCATGAAGAATCGATCGTGGCTCACCACCAATAACGCCCCATTGTACCCCCTCAACGCTAGCACCAGGCCCATGATTGTATCTCCGTCCAGGTGCGTCGTCACCTCGTCCAGAATCAGCACATGCGGCGGCGGCCACAGCAACTTGGCCAGCGCAACCCGAACCTTTTGCCCTCCCGACAGCAACACTAGTGGCACGTCTGATACTGTATGGCCGTGCAGACCCAGACCCCCTAGAACCCCTCGCACATCCTTTTCCTGCACATCATCACCGACCGAATTCATTACATGCCCGAGGGCGGTTAGTTGAGGATCCGCGGACGCTATTGCAGTAATCTCTTCCACCGACTGCTGTGAGAAGCGACCAACTCTCGCCCTGGCATGCCGCGTAATGCTTCCTGACGTTGGCACGAGACCATCTCCATTGCTGTCCATGATCAGGGACACTAACGTCGTTTTTCCACACCCGTTGAGACCAGCCAGTCCAATGCGCGCGCCTGCGTGTATCGTCAAGCTAACATCCCTCAAGATTGGCGCCTTCCTGCTCGTGGGGTATGCGAACGACACTTTGTCCAGGTTTACCAATGCGCCTGGGAAGGGCAGGTCGGGTGGCTGACGCGGAAATGACAGCTCTATTGGGGCATCAAAGTCTGGTATCTCAATCTCCCCACGGCACGACGTATGATAACCTGCAAGGTCACGGTTGAGCTTGAACCGACCACCTTTGGCACTGACCTGCATTCCCATTCGGTCGTCAAGTTTCTTCCTCCTGGATGCGGCCTGTTTGAGCTTTTTGTCGTCTCCCTTGTCCTTAGCAGCTCTGATATTGCCTGCGATGGTCTTTTCCATGTGCTTTCTTTGCTTGTCCTGTGCCTCCTTCATCTTGGTCAAGTACCGAAATTTCTTCCATCTCTCCCGCTCATATAAGCTTAAATTACCACGGAAAGGCTCGAGTTGCTGATTGCGCAGGACGAGGAGCTCTTCAGCGACTGCATCTCCGAAGTCACGATCGTGTGTTGTGATCAGGACTGTCGTATTTTTAAGATTATTAATATACCCCTGTAGCCATATGATCGATGGCAAGTCCAGAAAGTTGGTAGGCTCATCTAACAATAGCACATCAGCGTACTGTGTTAGTGCGCAGGCGAGCTCGCAGCGTGTCCTCCAACCTCCGGATAGCTCTGATGTCGGACCATCAATACGATCCTCTTTGAATCCAAGGCCGAGTAGAACCATCCGGGCCTTGGACTCTGCAGCGTTTGCGTCCATGAGATCCAGTGAAGCCTGCACTTCAGAGAGCATGCTCACAGCAGCCTGAGTCTCTTCGCTCAGCGTCATAGGATCCATATCTCCTTCACTCTCGGCCAAACGCTTCTCGGATTCTTGAAATAGCTCTTCAAGCTTGACCAGTTCCTTTCTTGCCTGCTTCCCCCGGGCGCCACTCCTTCTCTCCGCAATAAGTTGCCCTTCTCTTAATTGCAAACCCAGCCTAGCATGGCCAATGCGTCTATAAGCCCGGACTGGCGCAATGGGGTCAATAGAGTTCTCAACCGCGTCGCTAAGTGTCATGGCTTCCTGCACATAGCGTTCCCGGACCCGGTCGCTTCGGACCACATGTTGTAATACAGTCTCGCTCTCTAGCCTCAGCCCGTCCGTCATCCGCCCGAGCCCTGGACCACCCGTCTGCCCCAAGAGCAGGATGCGCGTACTGGAAGGAATACCCGGGACCAGTCCGTCGGCAATGGCTGTGAGCAATGTCGACTTGCCCGTTCCGTTCCGTCCGACTAGCACGTAGTGGCGCGCTTCTACCAAGTGCAGGGTCGTCCGTGAGACTAGTTCTCGGTTCCCAACTGCAATACTCAGGTCCTTGACGAGAATCTGTACACGACCTATATGAGCTGACGATCCTTGTTCCTTGTACTGACGTATGAGAAGTTGGTATGTTAACGTACCTCTTTCGAAGCAGGCGCGTCAAGCGCATCCAGTGCATACCGTGATTGCTGCGCTGTGACTGTGATATGACTTCCACACGGATGTCCTTCCGCTCCCGCTGCCGCCACCACTTCTTTAGCTTTTCTCACCATGCTTCTTTTTGATCACCAGCCAGCTGCTGTCTGTGTGCCAAGTAAACTTTGCTTTGTGCCCTGCGCTGATTGACTCGATTACTGGGGATGTTAATGTCGTCTATGACTCTTAATTCTTGCAAGGGCATTCCTTCAGCTCATTTATATCACTTTGGGATATATCTCCATGATGTATTTTGTTTTAGCGAAGCTGGTATGATAAAAACGCGCGGAGATTGAGACAGAATGAGTCGATTCCGACTCCTCTGATTGGCTGCGCTATGTACGTAGTACGGGTGACTAAGATTGGTGTGGGGAGGAAGACGAGAACCATTTACATCGTGACTTCCTGTTTTGGTTATTGATTCCACCGGCCTGTTCCTTTGGTGTTTTGACTGATAATTAATTATGGAGTTTGCAATGCAAGAGCTGAAAGTTCTGGACATTGCACCAGGGTGACGTACCCGGGTAGTGTGTGCTGGACACTTCAGCTAATTTGAAAGTCTGGATTACTTGCCTGTACATTTTTGCTTTTTCTTTCTCCCATAGTACAGCTAGTACGCGCAAGCTGAACTTGTCCATCAATCAAGAAGAGGATCTACACATTCTTGTTGTATGTTGGTCAGACTTGGCATCGACCAAACCATGATTGCCGTTTCAAGTAAATCACGTAGATCATAGATCAGCACACACACACACACACACACACACACACACACACACACACACAAGTCCAGCCCAACGCCCCTTACCCTTTTTTTGTGTGTTGCCCCGCAAAAGATATTATAGTTACTTAGTGGCTGCCCCCTATGGCTTGCCCCCATCGCATGTCTTTCTCCAATGAAAATCACACATCCTTTCTCAAACGGATGTGCGGAGAGAGAGAAAGAGAGACAAAAAAATTACGTTTGTTTCTTATTTTCCGATTGGCTCGTTCTGGGGCAAATATATCTCCCCTTTTTTTTCTGATCTCGCCTACTTACCACGGATGTATACAGGCGAATATCGGAGGTTGGAAAAAAAAATAAGCTTTAGGGCTATGCTTTGTGATTGGTTGTTTCGGGGAAATAGTAGGTTGGAGCTGAGGGTATATGACGGTGGTGGTGGTACGAGGAATAATAGTGATGTTAGGTATTAATTTTATAGGGTTAAGTTTCTTCTGTTTTTTTTTGCGGTAGTATTTGCGAATCGTCAGATCTTTGTAAGGGTTAGGGTTCGATCATTTTCCTTCAGCATTCAGCTACAGTGTGGCGTATGTGTCCCGTCTGCTTCTCAGCTCGTCTTTTCTCGGGCGTATTCGCTCGTGCCGATGTCGCACCGCAGTTGGAGTATTGGAGAAGAGATTGAGATTAGGTAGACCCCAGTTGACACACTAGGAGATTCAGCTCTCCGGGCGCTGGTACTAGTGGTCTGCCATGTATGCCCAAAAGTCGCCTCTTCATGTCTGTTTTCTGGTCTGGAGACTTAGGCATCCCACCATATACCGCTCAGGAGCCACCATCTTGCGCGTGCCGATCGAGTGCCAAAGGGCGGTGAAGCCGTGCGTTGCGGTTACAGGGAAGAAACATGCTATATCGAGCAGTTCTGTGTGCCTAGAAATGGTAGCTTATTGCGAGAATATAATATTGTATCATTCGTTCTTCGGTCGCTTCTGTTTTATATGGCGATGGGTAGAAATGCGACATGTCTGTGTCAGCGTACCGGTATTTCAAGAAACCTGGCCTGTCTTCTTATTCCCGAAAGGCTCATGTCTGTCGATGTGCAGGGGTACTCTTATAGCCCTGGTCCCATCTTCTTGCATGCTTTGTCGTGAATCATGTATCAAGGAAGTTCAAAACATTCTGAATCTTATGCTTTGCGTTGTCCTTCGAAAAGAGGTATACGGCTTCTTCCGATACCTGATCTGACATAGCTTTCTACCAACCTCGTAAAGCTCACTGTACATATAACAGTCAGGGATTCTCACTCGGCGTCAATGGCGTATCGACAAAGTAACAATCAGTATTGTGGTTTCTTTGGTCCAGAACAACTACGCCGCCTCCTTCTTTCGGGCTTCCCGAACCGGTCATCCGGGTGAATGTGCAGCGAGGAGGTCTGTAATTATTTCAATGTCACATCTAAAACTCTCCTATAACAGGTTACCCGAGCCCTGTCGTATCGGACTGTTTTTTATGTAGATCCATGATAATGCAATTTGGCCGTGCTAGGCCACGCCGTAACAGGGATACGGGGACGAGCTCCTATTGGTGAGTGACACCTTAAGGCCCGCAAAGGCGTATTTGTCCGTTGCCAAGATCGGGCATAAACTGAGAAGACAAGAAGCTTGGAGCATGATTTACACGGCCTACCTGCACTTCCGAGACGTGAAATTTCCATAGTCGACAAGGATGGTATCCATAAGCTTGATTCATTTTCGAGAAAATCATTATTTTCAAGAGAGAAGATTGGAGTGAATAAGCAAAATGACTTGGAAATACGTGCATTGGCCCGGAACGTGACAGGTTATTGTCATGGGTATGAGACTAGCGGGTTTGAAGCCTGTGTATACGGCCCGAATACGTTATCATGTTGATTGGAGAGTTCGCCTGCTCGCAAGCTGGCTGATCGTCAAAGGTTCTTTTTTTCTCTTTCTCCTCGTATCGTGGTGGGGAGAAGGGGCGTGGTCACAAATGTGCGAGCCCTATCACATAACTTACTTATAACTTTGCTGTCCGAGGCGTGATCGCATTCGACATGGCTCTTTTGCAGGAGACTCTGCGCTCCCTACACGCGCGGGATTTGCAGCATGGCTCTAAGCAGGCGTCTCTTTTCGCAGTCGGCATCGCCTTTATCATCATCACGCTTTTTGTTGTATCTCTCCGAATATATGTGCGAACACGTTTACTGGGGCTACGAATGGCGACAGATGATTGTGAGTTCGGTAACCTGCATGATTTTTATCGACTCTTGCAGTGCTGACCGTGATAGACTTAATGGTGGCGGGTGCTTTCTGCACAATGATGCTTTCGGTTACCAATATGATTAGTATGTCCGCGATTCACACCGAACTCTAAAATCTATATTGAACTCATGTTGACGAGAAACAGGCGGGTGGTATGGCACGGGCGAGCGCAGTAAATCGGTCCATACACCTATTACGCTTTGATGGGCACCAAGCTGACACTGCGACTAGCACGCGATATTCGCCCTCAAGACTATACGCCTATGCTGAAAGCGAACCTCGCGACCCGCATTCTCTATGTCTTTGCCAGCTTCCTTGTCAAATTCAGCATTCTGGTGTTCTACCAACGACTTGATCCACGGCGAAGAACCAGGTTGATTGTGTACTTCCTCATGGCCTGGGTTCTCGCACTATCCATTATGACGTTCTTCTCCTTTGTATTGACATGCGTACCGACATGGATCTACTGGGATCTGGCGGCACAGGCGAAATATCCGGAGAAATGTATGTCGGCAACTACGCGGCAAATCTTCTACAATATCAACAACGTCATGAAGTAGGTCTAGTTGCAATGTCCTTGGTGAGAAAAGGAAAGATGCTGACCCCACGGCTTGTCAGCATCCTGCAAGATCTAGCTATATACCTGGTTCCGGTATTGATCGTGTCCAACTTGCAAATGCCACGAGCACAAAAGTTTGCGCTGGCCGCTCTTCTTGGCGTCGGACTCGTTGCAGTAGCAGGTATGTACAAGTCACCAGATATGGACAGCCAAAGTGCTCACATAGAACAGCCGGTTGTGTGCGCTTCTACTACGTGCTCTTTCTCGTCAACAAAATCGACGACTTTTACTACTACATGGCCGACTCTCTCAACTGGTACAGTATCGAGATATACATCGGTAAGAACACTCAGGATTCATCCCCTTATCCTTTCGGCAGCACAAGCAGAGCTAACCAAAGGCTTCTGTATAGGAATCATATGCAGCTGCGCATCGACCTTCAAGATTCTCATCTCAAGATTCATCCCTAAGATATCGCATTACGTAGGAAGAAGCAATGGGCAATCGACCGGCAAAACGCCACGCAATCAGCGTGAAGGATCTCATAGCGATCAGATCTTCATGAAGCGTCTTTCGTCCAACAGACTGACTGGCAACCGTAAGTATGGAGTCGACGGGATAACGGAGATTGGCAACGAGAGTCAAGAGGCGATAGTGAAAAGCCAATAGTGTGAGACTTGATGAGGAAAAAAGAGCTGACGATCGTGTGCTTCATAATGTCATTGGGCGGAGTCTGTCATTCAATATTCGGAGGATGTTCCAGAGTGACTGATGTGCAGCACTGAGTGCTCATCACCAGCACTCCTAAAATAGCCGGGCGATAACAGTCCAGGCATAAAAAGTTCAAGTTAGACCATAATAAAGTAATAATACACAGCACGATGCAATCTGTATACATAACTTTGGTGTTGTGAGTTGCCGCGGCACATATACCAACCCCTGATAACATCACACAAGAAGCGAGTTGGCCAGGCGTGCGACACCACGGCCTTACTATGCTAGCGCCAAACTCGGAAGCAGGGTTGTCAATTACACGCGTTACCGGCACTTCGCTTCGACGAGGTTAAAGTCACGAGTCAGGGTGCGGTAGAGTCTTGTTCCGCCAACCGACGGGGATATTATCCGATGTGGGGATAGAAACCGCTCTTGCACATGTGAAACTCCATGACTGAGAGTTGTGCTAATGACTAAGGAAGAACATCAACACCGACGTTCGTACGAAACCATTTCCACTACTAAACCTACCGAGTGCAAGATTGTTTTGATTGCGATGACGACCAAGTTTCCCTAATCGCTCTTGCTCCGAAGCTACTGAACACCGGAGCCCAACCAGCGGGGAAACAATTACAAGAAAACGAATCCCATGACAAATCAATTGAAATGAAAGAAAGAACAGGTCGACGGGAAGGATGAGAAACCACAAGGATGTGAAAGAAATGAAGCTTCACAAACCTCGTTGTCTGGGGGTGAGGGAGGGGATATTCTACTCGACAAATGTCTTGAAGAAGAAAGAGGGGAGGAGCAACGCAGATACCACACCAAAAAAAAATGACATGCGTAAACAGACCACACACGTCGAAAAGGCCTGACACCCCCCAAACAAGGACCAATTTGCGACACAAACAAGACCTTTCAAGCAAAACCCCGTACTGCAATCTCTAGCATCCCTGCCCCTCCCCCCGTCATTGGGAAGCCTCACCCATGACGACCTTAACAAACTATCATTATAACCCTCCAAGTTTACTTTTACACGTGCTTTTTCTAGAACCCAAGAAAATCCCCCCACACCTCATATCCGCATCCTTCAACTTACAGCCGTTTCATGCATTCCCGCCAACCGAAAATCCCGCATGCTTATCCAGATCCCCCCGTTCCGAAATACTAGCCTTGCAAAAACCGGTCTTGTCCGAACTGGAGTAGGGATAGGGTGGTGCTCGTACCCTCTCTCCTTCCTGTGGCTGTGCAAAGGAAGAAAAAAGAAGAACCCATGTATCACAAAACGGCGTGCGCGTGCAGAAAAAAACCCTGGACAGTAGTAAGCAAGGAATATGGAGGGGGTGATGTCGGAGACACTGTCAGGCTTACTTTTTACCTTACTACCTTGCCTTAACCTTACCTTACCCACCCGGGTTTTTTTGAGGGGGGCCAAAGGCCTGGAACACTTGACATCATGATCTGAGGCACTAATGCGGGGAGTAAGTGATGCTTGTTTTTGTGGTTGTACATGTGGACTTTATCTCGCGTGAGCGAGAAAACATGCTGTGAGATGTTGTGGGATTGCGGGGTTGTTGAGGGTATGCACGATGTTGGGGTTTTGGGGGGGAAAACTTGTTGGGGGTTCTACTTTCAACTTACTTATTTTACTCTGTAGTAGAACCTGAACCTTGGGTTACGATACACAATAGCTGCGATCATGTCATCTTCAAAAGGTCTAGACTTTTGTTTCGGGTAAGAAGGGGGGGGGCGGTCGAAATCATTAGTTAGTAAGGATGAAAGATTAAGTTAAAATAAATTCTCTTGTACTAGGGGGGCGCATTCATCGGCCTTGTTCCGATGCTCAGGCAGAAAAAAAGTGGAATATGATAACGACAATGGGCAATTTGTCATGATACCCTCAAAAAAAAACCCTCTTTTCGCCCTTTCTATCCCCCCTTGTATACTTAGATCCCCTGGTGTACATCAAAGTAAGCAGCTGAGACAAGGTTACACGATGATCTATACCATGCGTAGATTGGGTAAGCACAGTAAGCGTCTGTTGATCTGGTTCACATAACAAGATTTTACCCAGAACCCCAGCAAAACATGCAAAACCACGTAACGGGCCTTGTAAGGAATTATACTTTGGGCAAACGGGAACGTTTTCGTATGATTACTATCATCAAGTTGACAAATAACAGTTCATTTGTCTAAGCAAACAACATACGATTATTTTGTGGATTTTTGGCTTCTAGAACGAAGCTGAGTCTAGCGTGAGGCTTGGAGAGAGGTGGAGGGGAGACTATATACTTTCGTATTCAACAACCCCAGCCCACCCCCACCCCCTGCAAACATCGTAAGCGCAAATATGACTTCTAAGATGACTACGCTGGGCACACAAAAACGGGCTTTTCGAAAACTTTATAACATGGCAAGATTCAACTCTGAACAATCTCTTTTCTCTCTCCCGCTTTTTTTGCTGCAAGATGCAATCTCGCTTACGGGTGAAAAAGACGGGAAGAATACGATTTTGATTGGTATACGATTGAAGTGGTAATCACGAAGTACCCAGCTGAGAAAGACCAAACTTCGTACCCAGAGTTCAGCCTCCACCCTAGCTCAAATCAGCTGGGAGAGAAATACGGGGCGCCGCCGCCGTCGCCCTTGGGAAACTAATTCAAAAAAAAAGGAAATCCAAACTTGTCCCCATTCAACAGATCGGGCCTTCACGCCACGCGCATACACATACATAAAAGAATCAAGAATCCCATCCTTCCCATATGTTTCTTTTTGGGAAGTGGTGCCCGCATCAACAAGCCTCCCACTCCCGACCTTTGATAGTAACCTCAACGGGGACGACACATGGCAGCCATTCGCCGATCAATGACGGTAAGCTCGAGTTCTAGCGGTTCTTGGCGGGTGAAAAGTGGGCGGCCTGATGCGATCCCCGGATTGTTACAGCGCATATGTAACATGTCCATTGGAAACTCGTCTTTTTGTTGGTGGGGATCGATCGATTGGCGATAGTTGCGAACAGCAGTAGAGGACTCGGGCTAAGAGGGGAAGGTGACTAGGGGGACCGGATGCGACGGCACTGTCATATGACCCAGGACCCTGAATACGCGTAAGACCAATACAGATGATGAGCTGGGCTTTCCACAAGGAATATATGTAGCGAAGAAGTAAGGAAATTTGATGGTAAAGGCGCGAAGCTGTCAAATGTAGAAAAAAGGTGGTAAGTTGATTATAGTTGTTTAGTGGTTTTCAAAACTTCGTACTTTGCTGGGTATCATCGCATCCGAAGACCCGGGGTGGAAAAGCGCAAAAAAACGTCGAAACACTGGTTGGCATTACGAAGAGCCACTCCAAACCCCCCTCCTCCAGCCCAAATCCAAAAAAGTAAATCCCAGAGCTCCCAATAAACGCCTCGTTGATGCAACGCTATGCTATGCGATAATCCCGTCTTTCTATGTCATTAAACATTGCTTCTCCTGTTGTCTTCGTTCTGTCTTCAGAGGCTAGAATGATGTTATGACAATATTACGTTCTCTTTCTGCTCTTGTATGACGCCGCCGACATTTTCTGCAAAGACTTTTTGTATCGGAAGAGTAATGGCGTTCATGATGTTCTCGCGGAAATCAATCTTGACGTTGCTCTTGTCGAACCAGTAGTGGCGGATGAACTTGCCCTGGCAGTTGCTGATTTCTACGCCGGGGAAACCGTTTGCTTCGGCGCATTCCAGTTCCTTGATGTTGTCCTCATAGTCGTAGCGGATGTATTCGCCAAAAGCAGATTGTTCGTGGAAGCGGGGCTGTTTCCATTGCGAGCAGTTTGCGTAGCGCGTGTCGTCAGGGCACTCGTGCCATGCCTTGAGGATGGGCATGGTGTCTGGGTTGTTTTGGACAATCATGAAGCCAGTGTTGGTGTAGGTGCGGTTGAATCGATCAGAGTTGTATTGTGGTTCCTTGGCAGTCCAGGGATCCTTTGCCATTACAAAAGAGTGCTGCGGCTGGATATCCCAGTAGTTGAGCATCCACTCGATCGGGACGTGCAAGAAGCGGAATGCGGCATCGGCGTCGAGGAAGACAATGAATTTGTAGTCCTTGATGTGATTTGCGAGCGCAGAAGGCTTAATCCAAGTAGCATGGCGGTCTTCAAATTCGCTTGCGTGGATAAACTTGTAGTCATAGCCATGGACTAATGCATATGTGTAGTGGTTGAAAACACCGCCAGAAACGTGGTTGATGTTTCTCCAGTCGTATTCGCCCTTGTGGTATGCATCGGTGGAGGGTAGCGGTCTTGTTTCCAAGTCCAGGACTAGGACATCACTGCCCAAGTTCTTCGTGTAGCGCGGGTTGGGTGGCAAAGTAATGCGGGTGCCGTTTGGTTCGCGAATAAAGGGCGCAGTGGGCGCAGTCTTGATGTCCTTGTAAAGTAGCCGTATGACTTCACTGATAGATACATCAGAGTGGGCGTTTGCAGCGGCACTGTTAAGATGGTTGTTAGCTTCGTCTGGAAAAAAAAAGGAGAGTAGCTTTCAGGGTGTTTTCATCCCATGTGCCACGCGATGGGGAAAACAACGCACATAGCGGTATCGTGAGTAAACACCATGCGAGGCGGGCTCTGCCAGGCCATGAAGGCAAAGATAAAAACCATGACACAGCCAGCGCTCACAGAGAGCATGAAGAGCGGGCTCCGACCGCCCAGTGCAGGCAGCATCATGACGGGCAGAGTAGACCTGTGACCAGAAGCGGGAGGAAGATGCGCAGGAGCGACACAGGACGGGCAAAGGAGTCTTGATGGCGAAAGGGGGGTTGTGGCGTCCTGTGGCAGGACGTGGGGATCAGCGCAGCTTAAAAAGAAGAAGGGCGCTGCAGGCCGTCAGCCGAAGCCAAGGCGCGCAGGAGGTGGCATGGATCACCAGAGAGATTGCGCTTGGCGGACCTTGGACTTTTTACGGGCAGGATGCAGCTAGACGGACCCTAAGCCTTTCCGATCTGCACCGATTCCAGGCGCCTTCTAGTCCACATCCATACATAACGTGCCAGCAAGAGTAGTCGTTAGTGGCGAATCATCAGTCCGTCCGACGCCAGCCATTGGTTTGTCACGAGCGTCTGGGAATGCAACTCGACTGGGGAGGGGGGTGGCCGGACAAGCCGATGCAAGTAGTCGGGTAAGCGTCATTCGACATACTGTTCATGCCGCCACGGCACGGGGATGAGAGTATCCAGATTAAATCAACTCCAGCGTGGGCCGGGGACGTGGACAACGTTGGTGACCCCAAGGGTCCAATTTGCGGCGACGCTTGGGCCGATGGAGTAATCTCCCCTCCCCAACTCAACAACCGCCCCACAAATCCTTCCTACCCTTGGCCCCTGATAAGCCATGTTTTCTTCGTCCGAGATTGATAAGTATATTAGTCCTGCGCCGAGTCTCCTACAATGTCTTTGTATGGTCCAGCTCGGGGGGTTTTCTGTCACGCTATCCTTTGTTGTTGACACTTGTTGAGTAGTTGGCATCTTTGGCTAGTAATGGCTCGCTTGGCCAAAGCAGCTTGTCCGACGCTACAATGGTAACTTGTGGTGACTAGCTCCACGGGTACTCATATTCTAAAATAGACCTCATCGGACTATAGTGGCGAAAAAGCACGGAACAGCAAACTGCGAAGCGGATTCAACATTGCCATTCATGATTTTCTTTCCGTGTCCATGCGGTTGACTGTTCCGGCAACATTGTTGTTATTGTGCCATCTTTGTGTGGCTGATGTATAGCATAGCCACTGGAAATGGCGATATTAGGGAATCCAAACGATATTTCTGATCAAATCAATCGTATACCACTTCCCAAACACCGGCGTCGACAATTTCCATCTATTCCACGCTATTAGTCTTGCAAGTAAAACAAAGCGCCTTTTGACCTTGTCTACAGGCACAACTAGTCCGTACTACAGAACTCTCAATTGCAACCCACCAATACATTGCCTAATCCACCAGACTCTCATCTCAGAGTTTCCCCAACAATCGAATATTCATCTGACAGGACCTCCCCACAGCAAACCTGCGATACTCATCTCAAAAGAAAACTCCCTCCCATCCACTCAAGCCGGCACCAAGCGTTCACGACATGGATCCCACTTACCTACATATCCCCTTCCCCTCCCCCATGCAAGCTAAGCCGGGAAGCCCAACAGCCAGAACCCCCGCCAAGGGCCAGTTCGAGTTCCCTTTTGCCGCGGAACACGTCGCTTAGGCCTTGGCAACGGCCCTTGAAGCAAACCAATCGACGATCCGTGCTTCTTCTTCTTCTTCTTCTTTCATTCTTGCAACCTGAGACTTTGTCCACAATGGATACGTCCGTCATATTGCTGAAGACACACAAGCCAGGTAAAATGGCATGGATGCTAAGCTTAATGCCCCGTTTTGGCCTTGCGGGGGGGGGGGGGGGTTTAATAAGCCTGGAACTTGGGGCGATTCAGACTTGGTGATGTAAGCAAGGTCGAGGGTCCAAAATGCAATGGTGGGTGGGTATTTTTAGGATGGATGATGGTGGCCTTAATGGACTTCGCATGGCACGTATAGGTACTAAAATAAGATGTCCTAGTAGGCAATTGTTTCCAACAACTATCACGTGATTAGCAGAGTGCGATGTTGACACATACGGTGAACGCTACATGGAAACTCGGATTATTCCTAACATGATACCTTTTTTTGGTGATGCATATACCACATAACGCCCAATGAAGAAATGCACTCACTTAATTTGAATCAAACCTAACAGGAAACCGGACGCATTGGACAAAATACCAGTATTTGTCTAGTATCCCCTCATTTATTCTCAACTATGTAATAATCTGTGTCATGTATCGTAATGCTACCAGCAATAGCTGTAAAAATGAAAACAACTCCCAGTGATGATAATGTTCGCCTACCCAAGGGCGATCTACAAGAACAACATATCCCAGACTCTATTTTGACCGGTGAATCCTTTTGCCGCCCGCCATGAACGCTGTGTTGCGTTTACCAGTACGCCCAATAAAGAAAAGAACCCGATGACGTTGGGGTATGCAATGTGGGATCACCAGACGCCGAAAATGCCCAAAAATGCTCTAAACACCAGATAGAGTCCGTAGTAAAAAAGAACCGTAGTAAGAAAGTAACCAATGGTGACCGTGAAAAATACACAAAGCCGTCACATATGGTATCTCTAGAGCAAGTGCGGTACGACCTCAAGTCATGCCGACACTTACATCTAGTGATCGAAAGTGTGTCGAGCCAGGAGCAACTCCGGTGCGAAATTGACCAGGTACGAGATATCGTCCATGTTACCCATGATGGTATCAAAGCCATCGTCGGACATGCCGTCAAGCTCTTCGTCAAGCTCCTCCTCAACGTCAATTTCAACGTCCTCGGGCTGTGACGATGCTTCTTGCACATCACCTTCATCGGAGTTTTCCCACTCTTCTAGTTCAGCTTCGGAAAAGAAAGAGTCGCCACTTGCAGAGTCACCCGTTGAGTCATCGTTCTTAGTATCTTCGGGGCTGGCCTCGTAGCTTGTGACGGAGAACGTATCCAGATCTGCCAACGCTGAGCCGAATGACGATGTGACCGAGGAAGGAGTTGATTGGTCGTCTTCGTCGTCGCCGTCGTCGTCAGAATAGGCATGTTCCATGTCAAGGCCTAGTGTAGCCATGTGTCTGGTTATATGGACACCGGTCTTTGACTTCTCTACACATGCCACATCACAGGGTGATCCATCTGGGTTAATGAAGAGAAGGCGATCTCCATATTGGCTCTTGAGATGCTGGGCGACACTGGGCGTTAACCAAGCGCCAGGGAGAGAAACACGCACAACCTTAGCAACTCCAGAGTCGAGCAACTTCTGCAAGGCAACGGTGATTGGATGATCGTCGTCCAGGATCGAATCATCGACCATTTTATTAACCAGCCGAGAGAGCGAGGAGTTGATGAAAATGTTGACATGTTCGAACTTTGCACCGATAGTCGCTAGGGATGCGATGGTGTTGGCTACTTTGGCGTGTGTGCTTGACTCTGCAGCGCCGATTGTGGCCAGTACCCTGACGCGGCCGAGAAACCGAAGATACCTATCGGCAATGGGAGGTAAAATAGTAGCAGTCTCAGTTGGCTGCGACGGTGTGTGGATGTTGATATTGTTGTTTTGATAAAAGTAGGATGTTGTTTCGTCGTGTATTTGCTTGGAAACAGTGAAGAGGGAGAATGCGTTACGATTGCTGCAGAGCTGCTCAACGATGTCTTGGGATTGCGACGGGGAAAATAGTGACTCGTAAACCATGTTGCGTATCTCTGCTGGCATATCACTAAACTCCGCCATGGCTGTCGAAGGTGGTGGCCAGAGGGGGGATATGTTTGTATGGTGATGGTACCAAAGGTGATGGTAGGCTTTCAGGTGGGGTGAGGCGGGGTCCAGACGGGTAGTATGCAACCAGGGTGAAGGCGCGAGCTAATGCCAGGAACGCTACGGGAGATGTAACAGAAGGCAGCAGGGCGAGAGCAAGTTGATAACCGCTTCACGTGAGACGTCGACAGAGAACTGCTCAACGGTATGTACAAGCAGCATGTACCGTAGTGTGGGTGGATGATGGAACAAGTGTCGAGAGGAGATGCAAGAGAGATGGAGGTATACGAGGACCTGTGTGGCAGAAGACCGAAGGCCCGGAGTTTGATCCACGTTAGCGTGCCCACATGAACATTAATTTCGCGCAACAATCCAAGGGGGGGGGGAGAGCTCTTGCCAAGCCGCCTGAACCACGGGACAGGCCTTGATATATTCACCTGGGCACACACGTTGTGTGATTTCGCACAGGTACAACCGTGGTTCTGTTCTGTCACAGTCTTCAATACAATGATGGCCATCGTCTTAGCACAATGTGGCGACCCGGCGGAAAAGGCCAAAACGCCGCAGGTACCCAATAAGCACGGCACAGCCATCCATCTGACTGCAGCTTGGCCAGACCTTGCAGGTATTAGCCTCGTTCCTACAGGCCGCCTACAAGGGCAAATCCAGCGTGGCTCGTTTACGGCGACAAAGTTGCCGCAAGCAGCATTGTGTATAAACATTGCAAAAGGTATACATGGCGGGTACCATGGTACTATGCTGACGTTCAGAGAAGCGAAGCATCGTAGTGGTTGAGCAAGCCCCTGTACAGGCCACTGTCCGAAGTCGCTCCGCGCATGCTTTTGGCGACGGGAATATAGTAGCAGCCCATATGTGTTTCCCAAATGACGTCCAACATATTCCGTGGATGGACCACGAGCGAATAGATGGCGGACGCCCCTTTCGAGGCGGCATGCTGAGACGTGACCACTCTGGTCATGAACGTGACGAAACGCGTCACACGATCAGGATTCACGTGACCGGGACATGTTTGTACGGAGGGAGTGGACAGGCAGCGTTCAGGTGTTGCTGGGGTCAACCGACACATTTGCTTTCAAAGAGCCGCGATTGGGGACAAGAGGAGAGGAGAGAACCATGGCCCGGGTTGCGAGGTGACGTTTGCCGGATGCCAGGTCCTCCCGGCGCTAAGCAATCGATAAGACACCCTGCATGTCTCGAATATCGCTGCAATCTACATGCTCCATCTGCCCACCTCGCTATTCGGCTGAAATGTCGGCTTGGCTCCCGCCTCTCGTAATCTCTTTCATGGCATATGGGATATGTGGTCTCTTGTTACAATGTCGCCACCCCATGCGTGTGTGTGTGTATGCCTTGAGGTGGTGGGTCTCACACACCATACTACCAGCTTAGTGACTCACTAGCCCATGGCTGCTTTGCAGTCACCTGATTCGTTACAAGCAGGTCAGGTACTCTTCCTGGACTCTGGTTTCACACACATATCCATATTTATTTCCAGTGATCAATAGACATGACTCTTCCTTCAACGTCACTGGCATGGCAAGTGGGGCTTCTATCCACGAGTTACCCTTCAACCAGAGCTATATGGAAAAACAAGGCTTGATAAGAGTTCGCCAACGTTGGAGCCTTGCGGCTCTGCTGATATCTTCCTCTACAACTCATTCATAACGCTGAAATTTGAACTTGACTCACACACTTACTCTGGATCGAGCGAGCATTACCACCCAACTTCTCTGCAGCCTGCCCAACATCAATGAACAAGCCTAATCAAAAGATTCGCCAACCGCTCAGGCTGCTCAATCGCCAACGAATGCCCACACTCGAAAATCTCAGCAATCTCACCCTTTTCCGCCACGGACTTCATCTGCTGTTCGACACGTGGCCCAAAAAACCTAGAAGTAGTCCCAAATATCAGCAATCCAAACCCATTTCAAAATCATGACAAAGACGCCACAGCCGCCCCCCCCCCCCCATTCTCAAAAAAAACTTACTCTAACGCTCCAACAGTCATAACCTTACACTTTAACTTCCCCTTACTCAAAATCTCCTCCTCAATCTCCAAATTCACCCAATGACTCCGATAACTCTCTAGTATCCCCCTCGTACCCCCCGGCGCCTTCGCACACCTTACCCACTCATCTACGGCCCCCTGATCCAACGCACAAGGATTACAACACTCACTCCTCATAAAATGCGTCCAAAACTCTTCTTCTTTCCCCTGAATCAGCATCTCGGGCACGTGCGGCAGCCAGAAAAACGGGATATGCCAGTTCCACACGCCCGTCTGGTTATACTGTGCAGCAATGTTGTCGCGGGTGAAGAAAGAAGCCTGCGTTAGTGCCGACGACAGTAGCATCTCGCAGAACGACAGGTGCGTCACGCGCGTGGGATACAGGCCTGCGAGACAGAAGGCGTAGGTAGCGCCGCGGTCCTCGCCATGCACGGCAAACGTCTTGAATTCCAGTGCATCCATGATGCCGATCATGTCTTTGGCGTTTGTGCGCCCATCGTAGCCCTCGCTGGCCGGCGGCTTGTCTGTCGCGCCGAAACCGCGGAGGTCCGGCGCCACAATCGTAAAGTGAGGTGTGAGCAGAGGCAGGATGCGATACCAGTAGTAGTGCGTCTTCGGGGTGCCGTGAAGCAGCAGTAACGGCGGCCCGGATCCAGATGTGATGTAGTGTATCCGGATGCCGTTTACCCGTGCCATATGGTGCTTTACGGGCTTGCCATCGTGGTCGTATAGTTCGGGCATTGCGCAAGGGGTCCTCGGGTCATTGGCAATTGCTAGGCTTTCCGGGGTTGTTTACTCGGGTTGTTTTTCTCTTCTTTGGTTGCGCGTCTTTTGTTACACACTGCTTAAGTTGGGGTAGTGCGACCCCGCAGTAGTGAACGTCATTGGCGGCAATCTAGCTAGCTAGCTACTAACAGCGCAAATAGGCCCGGAGACTTCCCCGCACTGTGAGTGGTATTGCAGAATTGAGACAATACGATAAATATCCCTGAAATCTCACGCATATGAAACAGTTTAGACAACAAAGAAAAGGGACCTACTTTTTTTGAATCGCCTGTGACCAATCTACATACCGGGAAAGCTTCTACATTAGAAAGTGTGACAACGCAAGCCGCAAAAGGAAATACCCCCAGCTACCCACAGCTAAAATTAGCACTCGATATACCACCACAGCAAAACCTCAATTGCATAATGGCCCGAAATCATCAAGTCATCTAAATATCTAACATTATAGTGTGTTCTAAACCCTCATATCCAGTACTCCCCCACACCTTCTTCCACCCTCCCATCATGAATCAGGAATTGCCGCAATAGCCTCCACCTCAATCAAAAAGTTCCCCGGCAACTTGCCCACCTCGACTGCCGTACGCGCAGGCTTCGGGCTAGGCAGCATAGCAGCATACACCTCATTCATAGCAGTGTAATCGGACATGTTGGCCAGAAAAACAGTAGTCTTCATGACGTAGTCCCATGATGTACCTGCTTCTTCAAGAACAGCTGCAATGTTCTTGATGACTTGGGCCTATTGGGAAGCTTGGTGTGAGTTGAAGGCATAGAAAAAAGAGTCGGGAGAGTCGTTAGGACATACGGTTTGGGCTTTGATGCCGCCGGGGACGATTGTGCCGTTGAGAGAGGGTACGGTGCCGGATGTGTATACTATTCCCTTGGAAGTCCATGCGCCGCTTGCTGTGAGTGAATTAGTATTTGAATATGTGTGTATAGCAATAGTGGCTACATACACAAGATTGGTCCTTGGGTGCCGAGGTAGGTGACTACGGGCTGTTGGGCGAGTTTGGGTGAGGGTGTAGCAATGGCAGCACCGGCTACCACCAAAAAGGTAGTAAAGATAGAGCGAAAGGATACCATGATTTCTTTCGTATATCAAAAGGTGGATATGATGCTCGTAAAATAGAGTAGCAGGGAATATTGCTGTACGGTACTTGAGATATGTACTACCACCCTATAGTTATATACATATTGACAATCATTTTCCCAATGTTGCTTACAACCGCCATTCAGAGCTAACGTCCGTATTCGACCGAATGCCATGGCTTCCAAGAGCTGCGAGTCTTCGTATGCTAGATAACCCTCGTTGCCGTCGTCGGCAAGGAATGTAATCAGAATCCATACTTGGCTGCCTGGCTGGTATCACGCCCTCATAAAAACATACTGTCCATTCCATTCGTAATTGTTTTCAGTCCGCCGTCGGCTCAAGGCCCGAGAGACCCCCATCAGGGCAATATGGCTGGGTGGCGATCGAATAAGCAGGGCTATTTTGGACCTCGGACCACTACGCGTGGGGCAATGAAAAGCTGGAGATATGTATACAGATATCTCCTAAAACGGAAGGAGACTGCGATTCGTTCTTTTGTGGAGTAGGGTGTGACGGGCTATGACAAGAATGATTGTAGAAGATGCACTCCAACTGGGCGCCAAGAAACCTCGCCTTGTACCGCGCGTGTATCACGCCTAATGGAAAACAGTTCATGACTCTAACGTAATCCGAGATAAAGGACGCTGAATCTTAGATAAGAAACACTTCTCTAGACCACACGAGATGGGCTATCGATATCTCCGGGATCCACTTGTGGATCAGCATGGCTTGCTGTTCGGTTCGTGATTCGCTGCCGTAGGATCCAACTCCATTTTCGACGGCCGAAGCCTCGCCCAGCAATCCTTTGACAATATTTCCGTACAGACGTCACTTCCGTCGTTTGGCGGCTCTCGAGTCATCCGGGTCATCCAAATTGCGGGCTACGGGCTCGACGGTGCTCCCGCAACCATACCAAACGCTCGGAGTAAGACTAAGTCTGTTGGTACAGTATGGCATTTGCGGAATCCGGACAGCATTCTTACTGTCAGATACTGTAAGCATGGTGTTTAACCAATTCACTATCCGATTATGCAATGTCGCAATCTTTCTGCTGCATTCTGTCTTTGTTTGACGGCCGCTACCGTTGCAATGAATCGATGTCGTATCTTGAGGTTGTACGAGCAATTCTTTGAGAGAGAAAAAAAGCCTATCCAAAGGCCCACAAAGATCCCATATCTCCGTCGGAATGGATCCGATGTTGGTATTCGTTATCTCTCGGAGCGTAAAGAGCTTTCCCGCCCCAAGTGCCGATCCTATCCACGAGATGCGTCTCCACACTAATACCTGCCACACGTTACACTACTGCATCTCGCTTCGAGTCCATGTAGCGAGTAACCTGTAACGGGAATCTTGACGTGTGGGAAACCCCATCCTGCAAGCCCACTTGTCAAATCTTACGACTGGCGACGCCATGGTGCCCTTATCGCAGCTGCGCCGGTTGACATTCTTTGCAGCAATATACAGTGAACGGCCAGAACTAATCTTCGGATGAGTGTTGGCGCGCCCTATACGATACGCCCTACAATGATAAGATATTGGTGACCAACGTGAATGTTCAACATGGATAATTCCGTGCGGACGAGCCTGCCGTAGCATCAGCAAAGGAAAGGTATTTGAAGGTCGGATATTTCCTTTACCGTGGAGTATCTTTCTTCTCCATCAATACTCGTTCAACGCCAAAATGAAGGGTCTCATCACAGCCTCTTCGGCAGCCTTGTCCTTGGCAGGTGGTGCCATTGCCAGCCCAGTAGCCCCTCGTTCAGACATCCTTTTCTTCAAGCCCCTTGAGGTTAACTCGGACTCGGTACATAACATCCATGTCGACTTCAATGATGACGATTTTGAGGGTGAAGTTCGCCTGGTCTATGGCGAATGCGGAATGAAGAGCCACGGACAGAGACATCACGATGTCGCCTCACATTACATCAAGCGATCGGCCCGCCCAGAACGCTTCGTGTGGATTGTAACAGAGGATGCTGTCCATGGCGGTTGTCTTCATGCGTATTCGGGATCTAGACTCATCGGACGCTCAGCTCCGATCTCTGTCAAGCATCAGCCAAGGAAGAGGGAGGATATTTCCGAGGTGGCTGACACCATGGGACCTTGGTTCGATGGTGTAGCCTACATGAAGAGCAAGCAGAACAATGCTTCCTATGTTGCGATGGAGAAGGGCAAGCGAATTGCCATTGTTGGTGGAGGCATGTCGGGGTTGATGACAAGTCATCTACTCGAGTCGGTCGGCATCCATGATTGGCACATTATCGAATCCTCCGAGCGCATTGGAGGCCGTATTCGAACAAAGTATTTGGCCGGAAGTAGACCCGACGAGTACCAGTACCAAGAGATGGGTCCCATGCGCTTCCCAGTATCAACTCGCTATCCAGAAACAAATGAGACGCTGGATATTCAGGATCACAAGATGGTTTTCCAACTTGGAGATGTTCTGACCCAAATGAACGGTGGTCCTACCAGTGAGCTTGCTGTCAACTTCATTCCATGGATCCAGGCGAGCCCGAATGTGCCGGGTAACTCGAATGGCTACCGCCTTCCCAATGGACGCATCCCCAGCGCTGCGATGCTCAAGAGTAATGCCACTGCATACAGTCTCCCAAAGCCCGAAGGCCCAGATGAGGAGGCTGTTGAGCACGCTACTGAAGAGTTGGAGAAATTCGTGGCTACCACACCAGATGTTGTGCGTGAAATGCACACAAATGTTTACAAAGCCCATAAGCATGCCGTTGAGAACGGTTTATTTCATTGGTCAGAAGCCGCGTATGTCAGATATGCGCTTAACCAGAGTGCTGATGTAGTTGACTACATTACCGGTGGTACAAGTGGTCCCATCTGGGAATATGATACCGCATATTTTGGTGCAACAACGTGGCGGACCATCGATAAGGGTCTAGAGTCGCTTCCTCGCGCTTTTTACCCGCACGTCAAGGACCGTTTGACCCTCGGCCGCAAAGTCACCGGATTGAAGTACGATGAAGAGACGGATAAGATTTCTGTTGAGTGGCGCAAGGACCCCTTTACAATGAAGGCAGAGAGCGAAGAGTATGACTACGCGGTAGTAGCTGTTCCTTTCTCAAAGGTCAGAATCTGGGATCTTCCCCAATACTCATCTCTCTTGTCTCGTGCTATCAACGAGATGAACTACCAGCAGTCGTGCAAGGTTTCTCTGCACTACAAGACACGTTTCTGGGAGAAGCTTTCGCCCCCAATTATTGGAGGATGCGGATCGGTTGATATTTCGGGCATTGGCAGTGTCTGCTACCCTTCTTATCAGATTAATTCGACCGGTCCTGGTGTCATCTTGGGCTCATACGTCTCTGGTACTCTGGCCCGCTCCGTAGGTGCACTTAGCGAAGAGGATCACGTTGCTCTGGTCCAACGCGCCATGGTTGAGATCCACGGTGAGGTAGCTAACGAACAATGGACTGGCGCGTACGAGCGTCAGTGCTGGGAAACCGATGAACACCAGGCGGGTGCCTGGGCTGCTCCTACTCTTGGTCAACAAGATCTCTTTCTGCCCGCCTATTACAAGACTGAATTGAAGTCCATTTTCGTTGGTAAGTAGAATCGGGATGCCTTTAAGATATAGACTGACTGTGGCCCTCTAGGTGAGCACACAAGCTATACGCACGCTTGGATCTTTTCGGCTCTCGACTCGGCTGTGCGTGGAACTGCCCAGCTGCTGTTGGATATGGGTCTTGTAGATGAGGCGAAGCAAATCGTCGACACCTGGATGGGTCGGTGGATCTCCATCTAAGCTGTGTTCAGCTTTGACATGAAATAATAGATATCATACTAGATCATTAAAGAAATTAATCAAAAATGAAAATCAATTGTTATTTTTCGGTGGGTGCGATGATGATGCTGCGTACGGTGCTAGCAGATAGATTAGTTGCGAGGGTGACAAAGCGTGATATACGATAAAGGAATGATGAGGTGCTGTTGCCCCAGAATGACGCCACACTCTAGCGTTCCGTAGCTGCTTGGTAGGATTGCAATCCCCTGTCTACTGGACTACCGCTTGGACTCTTGGGCTTTGCCTCGATGCTTGCTTTGTAAAGCTAATAAAATTCAAACGAATATCAGGTTCGTTAGTAGATGGACCAAGAGCGGGTTGGATTCAAGTAGATGTGGATCTTTCATTATCTGATCTCTGCATGCTCTCGTATCGAATAGCAGCCGAGGAAGGCAGGACGTGCTGATGGCGCATGCGATCTTCAGTCATAGTCTGCAGCTCTTGTGGCACATTCAGTAGTGATGATTGAATTGGTGATGCGCTCACTAACGAATAGTGTTACGACGATGAATGTCTATGGAGGGAGAGGTTCATGGCAACGGTATGGCAGGTGCGAACGTAATGAATGTCCTAGCGCCGGCGCCTGACCACGTGAACACGCGTGCACGCCACAACGAGGGCGTACAACGTACCTGTCGGCGAAGTTCAAGAAGAAATCCTTTGCTACCACAATGTCTCTTGGTAACACACAAGCTACTCCACGAAAATTACTAGCGATTTCTCACTCTGACAACCGAACGGCAGACCTATATTGGGAGCCGACACAGGCATGTAATATTTGAAAGCTTGCTGCCCCTCCTTCTCGAGATGGAAAGTGTACCCAGAGAGACGATCTCCTAACTACACTCGGCGCTCGGACATATTATACAGTCACGGCTGAAAGCGGGACGAATAGCCATTGGATATTTTCTTGGGTCAGACCTAAAATGAGGTGGTGACATGGCGTCTAGGGCGTGAATCTACGACTACCTATCGCCAAAGTATAAATATTGGCAGGTTGAGCAGAGTATGACTCAGCCTCCCTCGGAGTATTAGGAGGGGGAGATCGCCCATCTTCACCTGTGGTTGCAAGTTTAGCCTCACATATCGACAAGATGGACAAGAAAATATTCCAATGGGAACGTGCAATTGGGGCGCGAACCTACCTCGTTTCCTCGGACCGGTCGCTTCTTCCTCATAGCTTTGTCCAGGAGGCATACGCGACAGATGCCGTGTTTTGGGCAAAGCCTCTCCCGCCTGCAAAGCTGACGACCTTGCTCGATAACAGCCTCACGCTCGGCGTCTTCGTCGTCTCGGATGGAGTCAAAACGCCCGTCGGCATGGCCCGCATGATAACCGACTACATAACGCTCGCCTACCTAACCGATGTATACCTCATCCCCGAGCACCAAGGGCAAGGAGTGGGCAAATGGCTTATCAGGTGCTGTCGCGAGATTTGCATGGATATGGAAGAGCTCCGGTTCATGGTGCTCCTGACGGGCAGCGAGCAGGCACAGGCATTGTACAGGAAGGAATTGGGCATGGCCAAGTTGGATGGCGGGGAGGTGGGTTTAACCTGTATGGGCGCTCGGCGAACGGCGCTCGTTGAGGCGGCATCCGCGGGGCCCCCAAGGTAAAGCAGGGCAGGGCGCAGGGCAGGGCGGATGCTCGTGGCGCACGTAGCTACCCACAAGCACCCATGGATGATTGTGGCCAACGATCGAGGGCTGTAGTGCAAGAAACGTGCGACGACGGTTGGGCTCGAATCATGGCAGCGGATGTAGCTAGATGAGGCCTAGAGCCGGGCCCTTTGCACATGCAAGTCAGTGGGTTAGCGTCAATGTCGCAATGCATTTTTCACCATCACCACACCTGGATCGCAACCGGAGTCCGGCCTGATGCTGGTAAGACGGACAAACACTATGCTTATCCAGCCAAAGGGCAATGTTTCCGTGCGGCGTCATGCAGGGATGTGGGCTGGATTGCAAATCAGTCGGCGCATGCCAGGCCATGGCATCGCGTCGCGTCGCTTCTTTGGACGGGTGCATTACGCCTACTAAATGCGACGCTGTCTCCGGTGCTGCCCGAGACAGACTAAAAGACAGATCGTATATGTGTAGACCTGTTGCAAAGATCGCCAGACTGTCTTGATATACTGTGACCCTGCATCTGCCAGCGGCTCTGCCCACATCCCGCATTCCTCACGACATCATGGCAGAGCCCCTCGCTGATACCCCACCACTCTCCTCCTCTGCCTCTGCCTCTGCCTCTCCCTCTCCCTCTCCCTCTCCCTCTCCCGCTTCTTCTCCCGCTTCTTCTCCTTCCCCCTCTCCCGTATCCCTAAAGCGCAAACGCGCTCCCTCTGACGCGCAACCTCTGACCCCGCCACTGTCGGCAGACGACCCCAAAGGAACCCATCTTCTGTCGCGTGCCGTCCACGTTCTTTCTACCGCCGCTACTGCGCTGTCACAAGTCACTTTCTTGTACCAGTCAGACCATGTAGCCCGCCATGGCCTGCTTCAGGCCGTCGAGGTCATTACCAGAAACAGCGAGGCAGGAGGCAAACTCATAGTTTGCGGCGTTGGGAAAAGCGGCCTTGTGGGGCGCAAGATTGTCGCAACCATGAAGAGCCTAGGAATTGCGAGTTCCTTCATGCATGCCGCTGAGGCGCTGCATGGAGACCTCGGCGACATCAGGAAGGTAAGTTGCGGCCCCTCCTCCAAAACGTCCGCCTAATTGACTTGTGATAAGAATGATGCCGTCATGTTCATCTCCTACTCTGGCAAGACTGCAGAGCTGGTCGCTCTTCTGGATCACATACCCTCCCACACACCCATCCTCGCTATCACATCACATACTAAGCCCTCGGAATGCCCACTCCTTCGAAACAGACCGCGCTCGATACTACTACCTGCGCCCATCCACGAGCTAGAAGAAGTGTCTTTTGGCGTTTGTGCGCCAACCACCAGCACAACCGTGACAATTGCGGTCGGCGATATGCTTGCACTTACAATCGCCGAGGCAATGCACCAAGAGGATACCAAGGTTGTTTTCAGGCGGAATCACCCTGGTGGTGCAATTGGCGCAAAGACGAGGCGGATTGAGGAGGATACTGATACCCAAACCAAGAAGTGCACTGGACTAGTGACGCCGCCAGCGTCATGACTTTGCTCCCAACGACTTTACAATACGAACATTGCATCATGAGCTGAGTACTTTACATGCATTGTGGACAGATCCAGCCAAGGGCGTGATGCATTGATTCGACCTTGTTCATCAAGCAAACATCTCACTGTTATCTGTCTTTCCTACGCACGGAGCCACTTTCATACCCTCTGACCAAGGGCATTGTGTATGCAATCTCCAAATATAGCCATATGCGCTTTGAACTGCATGTGTCTCGGTACAAGCAGTATGGGCAAAAGTAACATTGTTACAGTCTCATGAGAGTCTTACAGATCTAGAATGGGACGGTTGATTAGTGCAACTTTTCCTCCATCTCTTGCTCAGAGACGACCAGTTTCGTCATTTTGGTCAGATGCGGAATGGAAGAAGTTAGGGAGCAACAACAAGTGAGATGCGCAATTTCATTCCGGAAGCATTCATTGATGAAGCATTGCGTCCCGCCTACTCAAAGCCGAGGGGAAACACGCCACTTGCATACGATTAGCAACGATGGTTAGCAATATCAAAAATAGCCTGTCATTATTCCTAACTCTCTGTTGGAATTCGATGTATATTATGGTATAATATGTACCTACATTCATTCCCTTCATGTTGATAGATTTAGGAATGATGATTGTTGTGCCCCGCTTACCCCATTTGGTTAGATCAAACTGCTTCGGACTTTATTTACTCCAACGACATGGAGACAGTGCTCCTTGTGTATGTGGTCAACACAGAAGACAAAAACTCCATCTCCGCCTTGTAAGCCTACAATTTCGCTCGGGTTTCCGTGCGTTTTAAAATTGGATCGACGCATTCCCTCCAGCCCTGCTGAACACCCCCGTTTTCCCACGCGTTTTGATTGATCGGCAGTTGCTTTACCCAACGCATAATGTTCTCGTATATGTCACCGTCATACATCCCAATCGCACTGCACAGACTGGCGTCGGAAAAGTCCCATGCGTCTGTGAGCGCAATGGCTTCGGGTAGAAGCTGATCAAGCAGGTCGTCGACAAGTAAGCGGATGGTATCGAGTTGAGAGGGTGAGAGATACAGCGGCCGGCCATCGCAAGTTACGATGAAAGACAATGCATCCACAGAGCGCGGATTGATGATCGTAGAGAGCGCAAAGAGTGAACACACGCGCTCCAAGACCTTACGGAGGCTTGCAGATGTGCTATCAGCCAACTGTGAGATAGCATCGACAAAGGAACGCAGAGTAAAGTACTCAATGTGCGCCCGCGACATCGAAATGAGCAGCATCATATGTTCGTTCCAAGCCTCTGCTGGTGCCTTACTCGAAGCTCGAATCGCCACACGTGCCTTGGTGGCCAGACGCTGTGCACGATGACGAAACACAGCAAGCTGAGTCTCGTGCATAAGGAATTGTTCACCCTGCGCCGCACAGGCTACATTGGGATCGTCCAAATCAGCCAAGTACTGCGTGTGCAGCTCCATTGTGTCGCCGTCTTGCAGGCGATCCAGCTGCTTGAGCAAATACCGACCAACCTGCTGCCATAGCACGTAGTTCTCGCCCTCGAATGTGGCACCCCCAGCAAGAGCGCCAACGATATCTGGAAGACCCGAGATAGCCATATACCCATGCCCACCACACATCTTGCGGGCATCTTCGGCGCCATCAGCCGCTTCCGAAGTGACGTATGCTTTCAGACCCGCAGTCAGTGCGTGTACAGATGGCAGGAGAGAGTGATCATTCCTCCCCTGCATCTCTCGCAGCTTGTCATACTGAGCCTCACAAGCGCGCGATGCAAAGAACATGGCATACGCTTTTGATGTAAGACTGAGCAAACGGAAGTGTTGGTGTTTGTATTGCATGATAGTGGCTTCACTGTCCAGTGCATCCGCAGGACCGAGCCCCTGTTGCCGCACAACAGAATACCGTGTTGCGATTGTCAGTGCTTGTGCAAGTTGTACGGCAAAAGCGCCAGGCATCTTTCCACGGACAAGCAGCATGACCGAATAAGAGAGTTTTGCGCGCAGCGGATCCTTGGTAAACGTACCATCGCGCGCGAGCTGGCTATGAGCCATGAGCATATGCGAGCGGGGGATTCGAACATGGTTGAACGAAGCAAACCCGTTGTCTGCTTCATTGTACCTACACAAGTATCTCATTAGCATAACCCCCTTATCTCACACAATCTCACAAAGAAACCCAACTACTCACCCCATCTTCAACCCCACATCCCCCATCTTCACGCCAGGTATCGGCCTCCCATTTTCCACACGCCTCAACTGCACCAGAAAAATATGCGGCCCATGGTCCTTCTCCCCGACAATCAGTCGCGCCATCACCGCCCCGTGCGTAGTCGAGAAGCCCAACCCCGCAGGCCAGAACTTGGTCGAGGAAATAGTAGGAGAATCAACAACGAACTCGTCTGTCTTCGTATCAAATGTCGCCGTCGTCTCCAAACCCCGCACAAACGATCCGTGTCCCAACTCCGTCTGCGCATACGTCCCGAGAATTCTGCCTGCCCGTGCGAGCGGCAGCCATTGAGATTGCTGCTCCGCGGTGCCATTATGTTGCATGGCTGGTTCAAAGAGTATGGCTTTGTGACCGAAGGGACTGTTTTCCATCAGTACCATCTCCTATACCGTTCCCTTCTCCTTTCCCTTCCCTCTTCTATCCTCCCCCTTCCCCTTTTCTGATACGGATAATGAGGGGTAAACGTACCTAGCATTAACAAGCCGATACTTCGGCGTAATCCACACAAAATGCTCATGTTCGTACTCTTTCATATCTTCCAAACACGCCTTCCCCATTTCTAGGCCTTGGGCGAAGAGCGCTTCGCGTGAGGTGTGGGCGTAGCATTGGGGGAGGAGCGCCGTGTTGTGGGTTCCGAGGGCTTTTTCCACGCGGGTGAAGGATAGGCGGCGGGAGAGGACGGTGGATTGGCTAGGGATTGGGTTGGTTAGTTGGAGTCTTCTATTCGGGATGAATGAAGAGAGAAGGGGAAGGAGAAGACTTACCTGCCCCAGATTATACATGTGAGGTCAAAGGGGTTGAAAGAAGATGAAGTTCTTGCTTTGTGCATTAGGCTGGTTTGCGCATTCTCCGCCATTGTAGTGTGATTCCTTTTTTTTTGCTTGAGAAGTGGGATAGTGTAACTATGAAGACTGGGTTTACGGCCCAAGTTGTAGTCTAATATGAAGTACAAAAGAAGCGGCAAGGAAAATTTATAAATACTAAAAGGTTGGCGTTGCGTACGGTGTGTTCATTCTTTTACACCGCTCACTCTGCTCTTCTTTCACTTGCAAAGGACCGCCCTTGAAGTAAATGAAATCGGAGGTCATATCCCCTGCATGTGATTCACGAGATCGGCTACAAGCGGTAGGTTGTCTTTATAGTCCCACCTATGGGAGTCGTTGGAGGTGAGCAAGATCCTCAACGGTTTTTTGATATACAGGCTGTGACTGGGGGGCTGAATGATTCATAGGGATTTCCTAGTCTTGA